CAGCTCCATCACAGGACTGACCCTGATCAAACTCATCAGGAAGGCCAGCTCTGTCACAGGACTGACCCTGAACAAACCCATCAGGAAGGTCAGCTCCACCACAGCACTGACCCTGGAACCACTTGAGACAGTAGCGAAGAAGAAGATGTAAGAGGTGGAAAAACTAGCTTATCTGTTTCAGGCAGGGCCAGATCATGGTCCTATGAGGCCCTTGGGCACCTTTTGGGGGTGCACAAACAGGTTCAGAGCATGTACCACCAATAATAATAAAGGGTATATGTTTCACCAATAATCATAAAGCGTGGAGCAACTTTAACATAATTAAGGAAGCTTCAGCAAAGTTCGAATTAAAACATCTTTAATAAATCATTTCTTAAACAATTTATTTTACCCGAATTTGCTCAGAAAATTAATGATGTGCACTCTGGGAATGCTGCTATGAGAATGTGTTGCGTCAGTCCGATATTAAATCAACTTCCCAACAGATTACAAATTATTTTTAGTGTTGTAGTAAAAAGATGCGTTGCACAGTGGCCTATGTATATATGTGTGTGTGTGTGTATATATATATATATATAATATATAAATATATATATATTAGGGCTGTCAAAATTAACGGGTTAACGCAGATTAATCCATCATCATAATTAATCTGATTTAAATTTTTAACGCAATTAATCCATCTGCGCTCAATCTGTCTGTGTCAACCCATTTCGGGCAGTTTTGGTGCATTCCATTTGCCCCCGGAACTCGTATTCCAAGTCGGATTCCAAGTTTTGAAGCCGGAAATGTGAATGCGTGTTCCCGTTTCTCGGAGATCTGAGAAATATCTCGGAGCAGCAGAGAGGATCCTGAGTTCAGAATCCAAGATGGCTGTGCCCTTTATCAACAGAAAGGGACGTTGTAGTTTTATACTGTTTAAACACTACTTCTCATTTGTGGCTCATTACATCGGTCGCACACACTATACCGTCCAACTTATCTGTGGATGTGTTGCTACGGAGCTTTATACGTAAAGCACCGCGCGTAGTGTGTTATCAACTGATATTGCTAACAATGGCAATTAACCAGGCTAGAATTGGATTTCATGATTAGTCGGATTATTTGTCGGAATTACGGTAGTTCGGGCTAATTGTAAATGAACGAAGATAAAGACCATTTAAACTGAGGTACCTTAAATCCGACAAGTTGTCCGGCTAAGCAGAAAATCTTGCTTTTTGATATGGGTCCATGGTATTGCACTTCTGTGACAGATGGAATGCATCCGACTCGTGTTCATGATGTTCAATAAACACGTTAAGTGCATATATATTCCCTTTTTTCTTGTTTTGCTCATGCAAAATGAAATGTGATTAATATAGATTTAAAATGAATGACATTTCATTGTGATTAATCTAAATTAATCCACAGCAACCCTGTGATTAATCTGATTTAAAAATTTAATCGTTTGACAGCACTTATATATATATATATAAAACACTGTTACCTCTCAGGGCTCATTTCAGAAGCAGCTCTTTTTCTACTCTTCTTTCTCATTTTTGTGCCGATCCACACCAGGTGATTCCCGCTGGGGCCTCTGTGAACATGAAGGGTAAATTGATAAATACATAAATAAACAATATCTAGTATACTCAGCACTTTTACATTGAGTAAACACACTGGGGTCTTCATTCTGTTACTCTAATACATTTTACAGTATGTCTGCACTGTAAACCCGTCTAGGTTCAGTCAACTAAAAACTTTTGAGGAGACTGATTTCCTCAAATTTTTCAAGTTAATCAACCAATAGTTTTAAATGAGTAGTACATAAAAAACACATTTACCTAACTAATTTTTTTAACTTTTGCAGTTTTATTTCACAATACTCAACTTTATAAAAAATTAAGTATTATCCACTAATAATAAACATTAACTAAACAATAATAGATACTTTATTGTGGAAACTCTCTTTACGCCTCCCCCAACTTGCTCTCTGTAGGTGAGAGAAGGCAGGCTGTGAAGGGCAGCCACCCACAGCAGCACCATGGAGCTGGGGGTTAAGGGCCTCGCTCAAGGACCTGCAGATGTACTGAGAGTGGGCTTGAATTGGCCATCTTCTAATCACAGGCACAGAGGTTTAGTCACAACAGTTTTGCCTTATGTCGCAACGGTTTTGGGTTATAACGCAAAACATGATTTCTTTTTTTTTCTGCCATTTTTTTCCTCCTCCTTTGTCCCCTTAGGCGCTCCGTAGTATTGTATGTAGCCTTGGATTTAAAATAAAACTCGGGACAACTACGTTTGGGGTTCTTTACTCTGAACTGAAATGTTTCTCTCTTTAGACACTTGGAACAAGAGCATGGTTACAAAAAAAGCTTACAAATCTGTCAACATAAGAAATAAATATATCTAGATACGGCTAAACAAATACAACCATGGTTCGCTGTTGCACACAAAAAAACCATACGATATTACAAAAAGATCATGCACAAAACATTCCAAGCAAACTTTAGAAACACAGAGAGAAAAACAGAAACTTACAGCTCCGTCTCCACCGGAAATCACTTAACACCGCTTACAGGTTTTTGTTCATTCCAGTCACTGTTTAAGACTTTTTTTTTTTTTAACAATTTGCAAATAAAGGATATATAAAACGTTTAGTGCTAGCAACAGAACGGCTAATTAAACAAACTAAATCCAAACCATCCCGAAATATAAACAATACAGCCTAAAAACACACAGCTGCATCAGCCACAGATAAATAATATTTCATAGCATAAATGTAAATTACATCTGGGCTGCCCCATCCCTGTTCCTGGACATGAACCACCTTGCAAAGCTTAGGTTAGAGGCAGCTTTACTTCAACATATCCGACTCCAATACTGAGATGCTACTGAAGCCCCGATTATCTGTATCATGGTGTTAAATTAGGGCTGCAGAGCGGTGTATCTTCAGGAGCAGGGTTGGCCAGCCAAAGTCTACATGATCACAAAAGAAATTATCCACCTGAACCTCCCAGAACCAGCCATGCAGCCCCCCCCCCAAGCCCAAACACCCGCGTTAAGGCGTGGAGCGAGAAGGGTCTGGCTGCAGACATCCATCCACTGTGAAGCTCTGTCTATCACTACCGAAAGTGACCCCCCCCCCGAAAATGTTACTGGCCACAGTCCGCGATACTGCATATTACGCGAACTGAGCGTCATTAAATTTCATTGTTGCCTTAATTCACTTTACATTCTAAAACTTAAAGTATACTGTCATTTTTACTCCTGCAAATTACTTACTGTATTGCACGGAGGTATAATCCCAGTATATAATTACGTTAAACATGCTTTCTTTATTATTATTTATATCGGAATCCCCATGTGATCTTACCTGGCAATGAAAAATAACTTTATAGTTTTTTAGGTCTTAACTGTTTCGTGACAAAATGGCGACTCCAACTTTAAATCACATATACTTCCATTTACAGACAGGAAATTATGAGCTTGCTATCAAACGCGGAAGCTGTCAAGGCGGAAATGGACACGGGCTCAGTGGCACAGCGTAAGACTTTTTGGGTATATTAATAACCTAATAATTACGCCGCCACTTATTTCTGTCATAACGTACATTCAGGATTGTCGGGCATGTAAAAGGCGGTACTGCTAGCGACACTTAAACCGTTAAAAGTCCCAGTTCTGGAAATGTATAAATGGGGTGGCCAAAGCTGTTTTGGGGGGGGATCAAAGACCAAAAATACAAACCTGTACTTCATCAAAAGTATATTTACTGATGATACAAACTTAAGTCAAGGTAAAACTAAACACTTGAATCATATTTAATTATAAATGCAATTTTGTATCACAGGCAAAATGTACATACATTGTTCCACACACCAAATTATATTTCTTTTCATTTATGACAATGCAGTGCGAGGTGAACCATCTGTTACAGATGTCAACATTATCAGTTACAGCAGGCAAGAGAATTCTCAGCTCAGACGGCACGGTGGTAACATTACGGCATTAGCAGGGCGTAAGTCGATGGTTCTGATGATAGCTCGCAAAACCTTGAACAAATCCCTCCATGTTGAGGGAACTTGCTCTGCTAGATTCTACACTGAGGATTGCTAATTTCCTTACAGTAACTGGTCCTCAGCCATAGTGCTCCTGGGATGGGCTTTTATTGTTTTCAAAGCTGAAAACCTTTTCTCTGGAGAAGCAAAGCCGACAGGTAGAACAACTGCAGTCTTACATAGTTGAAATAGCTTGGGAAAAACTCTCTTTAAAATACCCTGGACACATGACAAAGTCGATTAGGGTAAAGAGTCTTTCCATTACATTCTTCTTTTTTCGATCCAGAAGTCAGTCGCTTGGTCTGATAAACTTCATGGTTACGATCCTCTAAATTAGACTCAAAGTTTTCAGCGAATGATAATAGAGGCATCTCATCTAAAAAGGTGCTACTCTTTGGGTTTAAAGACTGGACACCTTGCGTTATTTTACAGTTATTCTGTAAAACATCTCACGATGCCTGCTGTACAGCAGTCAAACACCGGATAAAAGGATGAAAGCTTTTACTATCACTGTGGTCATTACTGTGCCCCAAAGTTTGAGCTGGTTTCTGGTTGTCTTTTATATACAGCCTGATCAGTTCTCTCCCAGGGCTCAGCAAGGTATTCTCTTTCCACAGCTCTTCAAAGTAACCTTCACTCCTGAAATGTTACAGTGTGTCTGTCACGGTATCTACTAA